GCTGAACCTGACAAAGGGAACTTCTTCTACAGTTTGGATGTGTTCATGTTTTAAATGACATCTGTACTGGAGCAAAGTGGTGTTTAAAGCCATGTTGCTCAGAAACGGGAAGGGAAGCACTGAAGGATCTTGTGTTTTGACAAACTCTTGAGAAGAAATGGCTCTGTCCTGGCCAAAACCAGGACACTCATGTCTTAAGCAGCAAGAATGAGAAGTTGTCTTGCAATGCAGTAAAAATGAGGAGGACTGTTAGGAGTTCTGGGCTCCAGCTGTCACTTTGCTGTGTTCTTCTGTACAGAGGTTGTTGTCTGTGTTTTCTCCCATGGCAGTGTTTTGTTTCTGTATTATACTGCAACCTTGGAAAACAGTAAAGGCCTTTGGGCCTTTGCAGTGTCCTTTTGCAGTCTTAAACTGGGCTTCAGGAGCTTTGGTCTGAGGTTGGGCAGAGTAATCTCAGAGGCAAGTCTGTGTCTGTAAACCCTCATTGATAAATTGTCTGGTATTTTGGTGACAGCATAGAGTCTGAAGGCTCTGGGAGCTAAGTTGAAGTTTGAGGGTAACACACCAAAAGCTACTGGTCTTCCCAACTGCTAGAGGTCTTTCCATATTGACTTCAGGTAGAAATGGGAAAAATGATGATGTTGGGAGTGTCCTTCCCAAAGCCATAGTTTAAACTTGGAAGACAGAATGAAAAGAGGCTGAAGAACACTGCAGGATGGGACTGGCAATGCACATCAGTGATGCAGGAAGTGGGGAAGGCTGCTCATCCCACTGTGGCATGGGGTGCTTCTGACACCTTAGGAAAGCATCAGTCCATGAGGAAACCAGGATGAGAAGGCAACTGTGCTTCACTGCCCTCTGAACAGCCTTGGTGAGCCTGGGGGTGCTGAGCACAGACACGAATGCTTGCAGAGGGCCTCAATGATTGACTACAGCCTGGATGCACTCTCCTGCGGGAAACATTGTGCACACTGCTTCCCTACATATTATCTCTTCACAGACTTTAAGGATCACTGTCTTTGTTTGCTCCCCCTTTGATAAGGTGAGATAGCACAAGTGGCTCAGTCAAATTTATTTGCCTTGCTCTCCAGGGACTACTGGAGGTGTCAATCCTCAGAGAGCCAGGCCGCACGTCTCTGTTGGCTGAATCTCACTCCCTGAAGTCTGTGGAGGTTGTGGGAGGAGTTGTGTATTTGGCTTTAGACTTTTGAAATCCAAATCCCTCTCCACCACAGAGGGAGATGAAGGTATCCTGGCTCTTCCCTGGCTCCTGGGGGGAGTTCCATGCCAGGGATGGCAACTTGTGGATAACTCCTGCAGCAGTGAAGGGCTGCATTCTGATTTTTCAGACTCATTTCTCTGACTTCTATAATCTAACTGCACTTTGCAAGGAATTTCAGCTTCTGGAGGTGAAATAAGTGGTTCCTGCTTTAACTACATCTGTGTGTGATTTGTTGATTTTAGAGTAGTGCACAATCCAGGCACCATTCACTGTTACTTGCCAAAATGACACAGGTCAATTTACAACAAAAGACTGCTGCTCATCAGTGCTCTGGCATCCCTTCATTTTATTGTCTCTGTTTTCAACACCTTTTTGGCTTTCTCCTGAGATCTTTGATCTGCCAGCTTCATCATGAACACCTGTTTACATTCTTTTTGGGTAAACCCTCATTGCAGTGGCCTGTGTACCAGTGGTGGCTGGTGTTGCTGTTGCACCAATTGCCTGTTAAATTATGGGGAATCAGGGTGATGCTTCATATGGACACCTTGCAGCCAGAAGTTCCTTGCTGTAGACACTGGGGATTTGCCTACGTGGTATACTTAAGAGTTTGATGTTCCCCAGATCTGTGTTGCATACAATTTTTAATCATTTGTGTCTTGTTTTCCATGTAGAGAAAGGGGATTTCATTGCACTGGACCTTGGTGGTTCTTACTTCCGAATTCTGCGTGTGAAGGTGTCCCATGAAAAAAAGCAGACAGTACAAATGGAAAGTGAAATTTATAACACACCTGAAGATATCATGCATGGCAGTGGGACACGGGTAAGCACCTCTTCCTTTTCTCTAGAGATGAGCTGCTTTCACACTGACATTTTAGAAAAGCACCTCAAGAATGACCTGAGCATCTTAACTGTTGCACCTACAGCATGCGTGGACTTGGCTGCAGCTCTTTCTTGGTACTGAGATAAATAAGCAGTGGGTAGTGTAATAGAGCATGCATGGATGCTGCAAATCTGCTGCCATTGTGTGGGAGATTGGGTTTGGGGGAAAAAATGGCCTAGAAGTAGAGATTCTGACTTTTATAGTAAAGTTACTTTCTATGGGTAGGAATGGAGAGCAGGAAAACAACTTTGTAAGCAAGGAGCGTGACAATCCTGCAATTGTTATGTTAAATGAGGGATAGAAATACCCAAGACAGTAACATATCTGTCCTGGCAGTCTGAGCAACTCAGCATTCATGAAAAATACAAGTACTTAAAAAAAATTACAGGAAGCTGATAGAATGTTTTGGCTCAACATCAATTTTTGTGGAATAAATTATATGAATTTTTTTTTTCATCTTCCACATTCAGGAGTAGGAAAAGTTTGGATCCATTTACTTGGATTTCAAATGGGATTATCTGAAGGAATTTGTTTGCTTTTTATGATCAGAAGTGGATTACAATGAATGTTTTACTGACAGATTTGTCTCCATGTCAGCGTAAGAGAAACCAGGTCATCTTCATTGTTGGAAAAAGCAAGGTTTTTTACACTTTTTGCTAGAATGAGGTGCTGTTTAGGAGTGTAAGAGACCTGCAGGAAACTTATTGCTTGTTTCAGAAAAAGAAACAAAAAGGCAAAAGAAGAAAAATTGTGCAAGCAGCATAAATCCATAATGTATTTTTTGTAGTCACCTTAATACCCTTAATGAATGTATCTAATAACTGCTGCTGCATTGTTATGCAGTAGTGAGTGTAAGATGGCAATAATGACTTTGAATTAGCACTGATGCAACCATTGTTGTGATATCCAAACCACAGCAGTAAAATACCTTTCTTGTAAAGTCTTTTCCTGACGTTATTGCTTTATTATCTGGCCAAAAGACCATGCATCAAATTTTCCACAGAATGGTGTTGGAGGGGAGCTGAGCTGCCTGTTATTGCTGGTGGAGGCAGAGAACTGGGGTGGGCTCTCTGGGCAGGTTTGGAGCATGGAGTTAATTGTCCATCAAAGGATGTTGGGCAGCTTGAGATGGAAAAGCAGCACACCCAGGGGACAAGTGTCTGTTCTGGGGGGGCAAGGCAAGCTGACTTAAGGTGAAACTTGATGGGCAGGTGATAGGGAGAGGCCAGAAAAGGAAACATTAAGTCTGCATTCTTTCCGGGGCTTTGTTGTGTTTATGCTTTAATTTTTTACTATCTCAAGGCCATTTGGCTGTTGGAAACCAGCAACTGGGAGCTCAGACTTTCTCATGGCTCTTAAAGTGAAAGAGAGGAGGGCAAGACTTCCACTGACCCTGGGGGGACAGTGCTCCTGGTGCTTAAGTGCCAGGAAACGAAGAGGAGAACTGGAAGCATCATCAGAATTGCATCCAGGTTTGAAGTTGTCCCATGACAATATCCAACCAGGACTAAAATGCTTGCTGTGAGACTTCACAGGGAAGCACAGCAGGCAGGTGATGATTTGGTGTTTGTGACTGATGTGTATAGTCAAGGTTCTCTGAAACCTCTGAGCCAGATTTGTGGAGTGCTTGGACTGAACTTCCCACGAGGGGTAGGCTACTAACATGTTTTTCAGCAGACTGTGTCATTAACTTCAATGAGTTATACTCTTATAGTGTAATACATAATCAGCTTATTGAAGGGATTGTGATTTATGGCTTCATGCCTCACTGGCATGGTTTGTTTTGATGTTTTCTACTTCATTGCATTCAAACGTCTATTTTTACCCATCTGTCAGGCACAGGCTGTCAGCTTTGCCAGTCATAGATAGTTCTGTGTCAAAGTCAAGGGCAAAACCCTCCTGGACCTAACAGTGTAATAGGAGGTGTATAATATGTAAGAAGCCCATCTTTAGTGTCAGCTCAGGGAATGGAAGTGTGCTTTGAGGCTTGATTTTTGGTGTTGCTTTTTGTGTCCTGCTGCCACTGGAGAGTAGGTTATGGATTTGTGGCTGTTCTCCCCGTCTGGAGCTGTGGTTTCCTACCCCCTTAAATCTTCCCTATTCAGGGGCTTGAGCCTGAGCTCAGATCTTCAGCTGCTTGCCAAAGTCTGCTGGCTGCCAGCCAAGTGCATCCTTATGGAGACTTCTTGGAGCCCAACCAGAGCAGTTGACTGCGTGGCCAGAGGAAGAAATGAAGCCTGATACCATGTTGCTCAGCATCTCATGGTGGCATTGCTTCAGGTCTACAAAGGTGTAAAATGTGGCTGATTCCTTCCTCTTGGCTGCTGCATTCCCTCTGTCTCTCTGACACTCCATACAGTATTGGGCTTACATGGTTACCTACCACACACCTGTGGGTGGGCAGGCATTGAAATTGATCCTCATTTTGCCTGCCCTGAAACCCACAGGGACTTCGTAAAGTTGCCTCTGTTGTCCTGTGAATGTTGTTTGGCATTTGTAAGGTTTAGATGTCAACATGGGCACAGGCACATCCAGGTGCTTCCTTGAGTCTCCTTAGGAAGAAAATCTCACTGCTGTGAATGGTAGCAAAATTAACAAATGCCCCTCTCTTTCTTTTCTCCTTTTGAATAGTGCCTTCCCTCTGTGCTCTGTTAAAAACAGTAGCACAGCCAGACTGTACATCACCAACTAGACCCTGCTACTGTAGTGAATAAAGTGTGGCTAATAGTTAACCCCACTTACCCATACAGGCTGTGGCATGGGTTGTGCTTTCTGAATTCCTGAGGGTTTTGTGGTTGGCCCCTGGTTATTGTCTGTAATCCTGGGAGCAGCTGAATGTTTAGCAGGATGGAATATTTAGCAAGGTACTTTCAGATGGAAAACATGATAAAAACACAAGCTCCTGTTACTTCTATGTTCCTCCTGGAGAAGTTGTCATATTTTATTTAGTTTTTTTGTAACTCCTTTTTCTGTCTCATCTGGACACCTGAAAAAAGTCTTACAGAAGTACAGCAACATAGGTTGCTTTATCATCCCATTTCACTACGTGCTCTTAGTGAAATGTCCTTATTTTGCCCAGGACAATGAATGACACCCATTTCCCTGTGAAACTACTGTGCCTCTGCTTAATCAAATCTGACCTCATTTTGGGAGTGGGTTTAAGGTGTTGTGTTAAATTGTAATATTACAGATACCTCTTCTTGACCTGCTTTGAACGACAAAATGCTCCTCTTCATTTTCTTGTAATTACTGCAGCCTGTCTGCGGTGTTTTCCTGTCTGTCCAAGACTCTGAAACTGCTCTTAATAAAGCTGCACGGGCTAATTGCAACCAACAGATATCTTTTTGTACTCCCTCCCAATTATTCCCCATCTTCTGGACAGTTTTCCTGGCTTCATCCCATGGGTGCTGCAGAGTGGGTGGGTTGGTTGGTTGTTTTGCAGGGAGTTAAAATGTGAAGCAGTTACCTTTTGGAGCAGGTGGTGACTTGCAGAGGTTTGACATCTATTTCTGGTGTGGATCAGTTCAAGGCATGTCTGGCTTTTGGTACTGGTGGATACAAATGTCTATTTTTGTTGCTTCAATTGCCAGGGCTTGATTTTTGGCTTTGCGTGTTGCAATCAACCTGAGGGGCATTCCAAATAGCTTGGTGTGAGACAAATCCCTGAAGTTTGTGCCCACACGCTCCTTGGCATGCCTGGGGACACAGATGGTGTCACTGTCACAGGGCACCATTGAGGGACCATCAAGGTGGCTTAGGTGGGTGTTGGTGTCTGAAAGCCTGGTGTGGGCTGCCTGCATAGTTCAGTATTACAAAAAATGCAGCAAATGTTTCCATTTTGGGTTGTTTCTCAGAACATGTGAAATATTTACACAAATCCCCTGGGCTTTTTCCTTTTTGTTTGTGTGCTTTAAGAATAGATTTGAGGTGATGTCCTTTTGGCCAGCTTCTGCAAAGTTGCTGGCTACTCTAGGCTCAGCAGACTTTGAGTGAAGCAGATGTAGATCTTCTCTGTGTATTTTTAAATTGCTCAATCCATTTGGGACTGGATCCCAAATGTTCTTTTGAGATGCTCCTTCCTGTTATAGAAAGGTTAAAAGAACAGTTTTGTTCTCATCAAATGTTAAGTAGCAGGGTTATGGGAGGATTGAGAACCACGTGCCACTAGTTTCAGGGGAAGCCTTTTTATCTGGGTGTAAAAGATGGCTTGCAGATTTAAGTGTGTAAAAGGACAATGTATTTCATAATTAGGGTGTTAAAATACACTCTCTGAGAGTATTTTCATAGCTATGTTGTTTATACATCTTTAACAATTTGGAGCAGATGTTTTCTCCCTTCCTCTCATCCAGGACAGTTTTCATGTGCAGTTTGAAATATTTTCTCCCTGAAACTGTATCTTTAATCATGGTGCTTTTATACCTTCCATTTCCTTACAGCTTTTTGATCACGTTGCTGAATGCCTGGGAGACTTTATGGAAAAACAACAAATCAAAGACAAGAAGTTACCAGTAGGGTTTACGTTTTCCTTCCCATGTCGACAATCCAAGCTAGATGAGGTAAGAAGATTTCACAACGTTCTTAATATGCAGAAGAACTGCCATGTTATTCAAACACTGCTGTGAAAGCAGTGTCCCAGTCAGGTCTCACTTTTGGGATAAATGAGTGTTGTATTTCACTGTCAGTCTTCATTTTTCATGTTTGTGTTTCTGTGTGAAAGAGCCGTTTAGCAGATGATGAAGAGACACCTGATGTGCTGCCTCTGCATGAGCTCCTTGTTGTGGGTTAGCAGATGATGAAGAGACACCTGATGTTTTGTGCTGCCTCTGCATGAGCTCCTTGTTGTGGTTTCCTTGGCAGTGGTTTTGCCTGCCTTCTCTGCAGCCTTTTTCACCTCTCTGTGGGGTGTAACTGAGAGGGATCCAGTGGGCAGGACACCTGGAAGCAACGTGCTTTGAAAAGGGGTAGCAATGACAAACCTTGTATGAAGTGATGGATGTGATTCCCGAGACAAGGATGCTGTGGTATTTTACTTCTTTTGCTCATTATATCCTAAATGACTAAGCAGCCTCCTGGCACAGTGTTGCTTTGGCAACAGTGTAACTCATTAATGCAGGGAAGTTAAATCCACACAAGACACAGAGAAGTTGCAGCACTAAAGCACAACCTGCTTGTCCAGTTTGTGAGGCTCTAGGTTAGCCTGGTCCAACAGCTTCCCAGGTGTTGGTGCTGAGGAGGGCTAGGTGGGGCATGGTTTTTATTATATTTCATACTTCTTGAGTGATGCTGGTAGCTGAAACCAAGGGGGTTTACTGACTCAGGGCCTGAATGTAGCTAAGAACAGAGAGCTGCCTTTTCCTGCATCAGCTGAGAAGAGATGGGTTGATTTTGGTGCAGCTCTGTGGCCTGGCTGTGTTGTATTTTAAGGCTCAGACTACTGATCACAGCAGAGTCATGCTGGGGATGGGAGTGTGAATTTGAGTTGCCCTTGTGAAAATTTGTTTGGCTGCATAAAAGGTGCTGGTTTGTGGGCTGGTTTGCTCAAGCCAGCCAAGATGAAGTCATGCTTGTGTGGGCCAGGAGTGGGCAGGGAGCATGTGGGATGGCCTGGGGAGACCTGTAAAGACTTGAAATGAGTGGTGACATTGGAAAACTATTGATTTTTTTGATTCTATGGATCACATTTGTTCCTGGATTTCTGCTTCTGTGAGGCTGTGCTCGCTTGGGTGCTGTTTTCTGATGCTTAGTGAGCAGAAGGAGGTAGGGTTGTCCCTGATTTCTCAGAGAAATGGTTGGGTTCCTCTCAACCTTGCTGCACTCCAAAGACCCTGCTACCAAGGCCTTGCTGGCAAAGCAAAAAACCCCCTTCCAGCACAGTGGCTGAGGAAAGCTGCTCCTTGCTCCAGTGTGTTTTGACCAGTTTTGTGAATGATAAAAATTATGTGGACCAAGGGGCCTATTTGACCATTAAAGCTGTGCCAGCAGAGTAGGCTTTGTTCATGGTTTTCCTGCACAGCAGCACAGGGCTTTGCTGGTGATGCTAACAAGGATGGCACAGTGGCACAACTTGCACAGACTGAATTTGTGGCTTAGTAGTAGGAATAACTACTGCTCTGGAAAGAGCTGCCCTAATCCCTCTGTCCCTTGTAGCTTTGGGGCTAAATGCTCTCCCAGTTGAGGGGGTGAACATACACAGGGATGTGGTTGATTTTTAAGTTGAGATATGGACAAATGTGTACCTGGGCTATGGCTGCTTGTGCCTGCAGGCTTCAGCTTTTCTGGTTTTTAGCTTCTTGAATTCCTGTTGTGAGAGGTGTGAGTATTGTGATGGGTATGAAAAGCTGGGGCTGATTTGAGTTGCCTTTCCTGTTGATTCTCTTTTCTTTCTTTTATTAATACTTATGTATTTCCTGAATGCCCTGAATCAGCATTATCTAAATAGAAAAAATCAGATGTAGCCATTACTTCAGGGGCTTTGCAGGCTCTTTGTGACAGTGTGCAGACAAGCAATTAAATACCAGGATTTCCTTTTTGATCCATGCTGAAAGCTGGCAACATATATTGCTACATTTCCAGTATTTCTATTTGCCATAAGCCATAAACAGGATCATGTGGTGGAACAAGCCTGGACAGTTGGGACTCCAGGCAGCAAATGTGCAGCAGCCTGATCCCTGCTGCAGCCAGGTCCTGGATGTACAAACATCACACCCCTTCTCTTTAGTCAGTCCTGCACAGTCAGCTTTTTCTGAAAGCAGTCAATTTCCACAGCCCAAAAGGATTAAATGGTTTTCCAAGAAAAACTGTCGAGGAGTAACAGGGAGACGAGCAGGCTGGAAATACAGAATGTAAACAATCTGTTTTATAGCAAGTGAGGGGAAAGCAATTTCCCATCTTCCAGCTTACTGTAATGAGAATCAAAGACCACCAGTTTCCTCAGGTTGGGTTGTTTGGTCATGTAATAAAGGAGACCTGAAGATGCATTTGAAGTGTAAAATCTGGTTTTGAAGAGGGGAAAAAAACCCCCATGTTTCTTGTGGTGGTGTCCTGTTGAATATTGCTCTCTTGTTTTCGCAGGGTATTCTGATAACCTGGACAAAGCGCTTCAAAGCAAGCGGAGTGGAGGGAGCGGATGTTGTGAGGCTGCTTAACAGGGCCATCAAGAAACGTGGGGTAAATTGTGCTTCATTCTTTTTGTAACTCTGTATCTCAGCATTTCTTTGTCAGGGACTACCCTTCAGGTCCCTGACCTGAGCAGTGTGAGTGATGGTGGAGCTCTGCTTTCTTGCGTGAAGATGTGCAGTTCTGTTGTTTGCTGGCAAAAGGGAGCACAAAGCTGAGTTACTGAGTGGTGGTTTGTCACTGGCAACCTTCAGAAGCTTTCTCTCTCTCTCCAAAACCTGAGAAAGTGCTGTGTCTGTGTGTGTTAGTGTCACAGCTTTACAGCCACATCAACACATCTCATTCCTGAGAAGCTGTGTCTTCTGGTCTGGGCTCAGCTGAGTCATGCAGCTGCCTTGCCTAGGAGCAGGAGAAGAGCAGAGTAGGAGAGAAGGGGGATTTTGGGCTCAGTGAGCTGTGTTGCTCCCTGCAGTTTCTCACTGCTGATTTTATAGAGGGTGAAGGTGTTTAGGTTGCTGATATAAACAAATAAAAAGGCACTGAGTGTGAGATGGAATGAATCCGGGTTTACACTTGCAGCCAGGTGATATGTTGATTACTCAGCATCCAAATTCGTTGCAAACTGGGCAGTATTTGCTCTTTTTGGGCAGTTGTGAACTCTTAAGAAAGCCAAAAGACATTACTATAGTCAGTTACTATCATCAGACTTGGTGTCAGGTAGAACAACACACTAAAGTAGCTGGAAAGGAATGAGTGCATGTCATTTGGATGGCTTTTTAAGTTGCATTATTTGCTTATATGTTTGTATTAAAATCTACACTTGAGTTAAAACACTCAGGTGTTTTAAGTGAATTCTGTGAGAAACACATAACTTGGGAACATTTTCTGGATTGACTCCTTAAGCAACTGCATCAAAATATTCCATGACATGATGTTTAACTATAGAGTTCCTCCCTCTCTCATGTATGTCCCTTTGTTTTTAAACTTTCTGCCCAGGGGTGAGAGCAGGTCTTTGCTCTCTGGAGTTACACAACTGCTGTTTTATTGTTTGCCTGGTGCCTTAGTTTGCTCTCCTTGTCTTCTTGGGTACGTGGGATGGGGAACTGGCAGACGGAGCAGGTGTGATATTTAAAAAGATGAGCTGTGATCATCAGACAAATTACTTGTCTGCTCTTCCTTGTGAAACAAGTTGATGTCAGCAAACTGGTGAAAAATGCAAGAAGTGTTTTCCAGAGGAGCCATATGGTCCGAGTAACATTTTGTTCCTCCATCAGGACTACGATGCAGACATCATGGCTGTTGTGAATGACACCGTGGGGACGATGATGACCTGCGGTTTTGACGACCAGCGCTGCGAAGTTGGCTTGATCATTGGTAACTTGTGTTGCTGCTGGTGCAACGTGCGCGGGGCTTCTCTCCCTTTGCCTGGCCTCCTTGGTTAGCACCTTCTGATCTCCTTTCCCCAAAGGCACTGGCACCAATGCCTGTTACATGGAGGAGATGCGGCACATTGACCTGGTGGAAGGGGATGAGGGCAGGATGTGCATTAACACGGAGTGGGGGGCCTTTGGAGATGATGGGTCACTAGAAGACATCAGGACCGAATTTGATCGAGAGATCGACCGTGGATCCCTTAATCCTGGGAAGCAGCTGTGAGTGAGGCAGTTATCTGTGTGCTTTGCTTCTTTTGTTCTCTACCCTGTGCTTCCTTTTCCCACTTGTGGTAAGAATTCAGCAGCTGAAGAAAGCTCAGTTTTGCCTGTGGTGAGGCATGGTGGGGCTCTGCCCTGCAGTGTTGCCCATGGACTGGTGGGTGACTGCTGCTGTCCTCTTCTGCAGGTTTGAGAAGATGGTCAGTGGGCTGTACATGGGGGAGCTGGTGAGGCTCATCCTGGTGAAGATGGCCAAGGAAGGGCTTCTTTTTGAGGGGAGAATCACCCCTGAGCTTCTCACCAAAGGGAAGTTTGAGACAAAACACGTTTCTGCCATAGAAAAGTGAGTACCTCTCCTGTTACACCTCCTGAGCTTCACAGTGATTCTGAATGTCATTTTTCCAGCATCTCTTTTCACTTTGGGGGCAGATGTGCTGCTCTGGGGGTGGCTGCCATCTTCCAACATAGGTAGCAGAGTCAGCATGTAGGGACCCCCAGCAGAGACAGCCTGTGGCCTCACCCCCTCCCTGCAAAAACTCCAAAGTTGCTGCCCTGCAGCTGGATGCAGGAGTGAATTGGCTTGGTGCCTCCCAGCAAATACTTGTGTTGCTCCTTGCTGTATCCACGGGATTGCTGGGCAGAAGGAAAACAAGTGTGACAAGGCAGAGCATTCAGTCTCGTAGGCAGTGCCGGGTGCTACACGGCGACCTCTGAGCTATGTGCCAGTTGGTTTCTTGTGGTGTCATCACCCCTTTGGACAGTACTTACTGGCTCTTCCCCCTGCGTTTTTAAAATTCACATCACTGGGATAGTTGGTACTGTAGTCACAGACTGGCTTTTCTGTTTGAAGTGCTGCTGGTTGTGGTGCACACATTTAGAGGTAATGTTGATTGTGAGTGCAGCAGCAAGGGAACAGCCAGTGACTTCTACAATGCCTGTTGCCTCCTGCTGCATTTTACTCCTGTCCCTGCAGACCATCTTATCTGAACAGCTTTCCATTAAATGTGAGTGTTCATTTCTCCTAACCACAGAGGTCTGTGTCATGTTGAGCAGCAATGAGAAAAATGCAGTCATTGAGAAGTTCAGTTAAGAGCAAAATTAGCCCTGAAATCCCACCTGACTCTCTGAAGAGCACTTTGGTTCTGAAGTAGGGGGCACATCCCTGTGCGGCTTCAGATTTCTAGCTGATCCTAGCAAGATGCAAGAGTCCTTAAAAAGTTGCACAGAGAACAGTTGGTAATGACAGGATAAACTCCTTGTGTTTTGTCTGGGAAATGACCAAGCTGGATAAGTTTTGCCAGAAGCTTTTCTCTCAGGCTGTGTGCTAACATGGGAAAACTCAGTGCAAGAAGCAGAAGTTCAGTGTGGTTGTAAAAGTCTGAATGAAAAGAGGCCCATTAGGATGAAATCACTTAGGCAACCTTCACTCAGACTTTCGATTTTCATGCTAAGCTTAATAAATTGAAGCCATGTGAACCAACAAGTGTGGGATGAGGTGTATGCTGGGCTGAGCTGTGGGGCTGGTGCTTCCCTGCTGCAGAGAGGAGAAGTTGTTGAAGGATCAGTATGATGAAAAAAGCATTTAATTCCTCCATGATTCTTATCTGTGAATGAATGCATATTTAGAGCATTTTATTCCAGGATTGATGGAGCTCCCCAGCCCAGATCCCTAAGAAAATTTTCTTTCTAACCCCTTTTTCAAACCCCAGGCAGGGACAGCCATGCTTGAATGCCCCTCAGTCTTGCCTTTTATACCTTCTCCACTGAGGAGTATCCTTTGCTGCTCTCTCCTTTGTTAGGAGCAAAGAGGGTTTGAACAAAGCCAAAGAAATTCTTACCCGCCTGGGGGTGGAGCCATCCCACGAGGACTGCATCGCCGTCCAGCACGTCTGCACCATCGTGTCCTTCCGCTCGGCCAACCTGGTGGCTTCCACACTGGGTGCCATCCTCAACCAGCTGCGGGACAACAAGGGGGTTGGTCGCCTCCGGACCACCGTGGGGGTTGATGGCTCCCTCTACAAGATGCATCCACAGTGAGTCCCTCTCTGCTCCTGGCTTTGGGTTTGCTGAGGGGCAAGCCTGTAACCCCCAAGGTGTCACCCAGGCGTGTGGTTTGGGGGTGAGATGAGGCCCCCAAAACGTGGACCTGAGGGCTTGGTCTGGGATGAGGAGCTCGGTGGAAAGGAGAAATGTGTTTAACTGAAGAAGTAGGGTGAGATTTAAAAAAAAGCAAAGCACAAACCAACAAAACCACAAAGAACTAAAACCCTGAGTAATTGGATACTGCAAAATCAGTCAAAACTGATGGTTTGAGCACATACCTTAAGAGATCTCAGTAGACTCCTTGGCAGGTGAGTTTCTTCCCACAAAATATTACTTTGTGCCCATGGATTTGGCTTTGAGGAGACCTGCATTAATGCACCTTGATCTCCATTTTCAATTTAAACTAGGTTGTTTTGAAAATTACTGTGCTGAACCCCATTTTTCCAGTCTTTTCTGAAGATATACCTGGAAACCAGGGGGAAAAAATTGGTGCTTACATTTCTGTGGCCTTTTAAAAATGGGCTTTGTCTTATTTTTCCCCATCTTGGAAGTTAAATTTTTAATCAAGCAGCTGTTTAAATGTATGTAGAAATCAGAGAGGGAATGGATCTCTTCTGCTGGGGTTGTACCTGCTGCTGGTCACAAGGTTTAGTGCCAGTCTTAGTGTCAAAAATGACCCCAAGAGTCCAAGCCCTGATGCTGGGGCTGGGAGAGAAACACCTCCCTAAGGGTTTCCAAGGTCAGAGTAAAGAAATGGAAGAAATATGCAGCATGCAGGTGTGGTTTATGCACACAGGGTAAAAAGCTTTTATTTAGTAAACAATAACTGGTGATAACAAGTTGGTTTCCAGTCTCTGGCTGTAGGGTTTAGCTGTGGGGACCAATGGAGAGAAGAAGCACAGCACACAGGACATACCTTTGGCACTGGAGCTGCCTGGGGGGGCTGAGTGTTGTTTATGAGGACACTTTTGAAAGGAGAAGGATGTTGAATGTTTCATTTTCACTTTCTTACTATTTTTTTTTGAAAAAAAAAAAAATTCTTAGTTAAAGAAGAATGTCAAGTTCTGACAAACAAACAAAAATTTCTAAGAATGCTGTTTTGACTGGCTTTTCCAGATAGGGAGGTCCAGGGTGTGGTAAGATAACATACATGGGCAATTTTTGTTTCTGAACTGTTTTCCCACGCTATCTAACCCAGTGAGCTCAGGGCAGCTTGATGCCTGCAGGAGCAGAGGTGGGAGCAGCACTGGATCCAGGGGGTCTCTTCCATCTCAGGTTTCAGGGATGAGACCCTGATGCAACCCCCTGCTTTCTTTGCTGGCTTTTCTTAGAAATTCAGGAGGAAAGAACCCACAGGGAAGAACAGCTCTTCCTTGGCAGTTCTCCTAACCTCGAGAGGCTGTAGCTGGTTTGTTTGGGTGGCTCCTCACTCTGTGCTGGCAGCAGGGGCCTGGGGGGCAGTGGGAGAGGCGGGGCAGACGGTGGGGCTGGCAGCCTCCCCTTCCCTCTCCTCCCCTCCCCTCCCCTCAGGTACGCTCGGCGCTTGCACAAAACCACCCGGCGCTTGGTGCCCGACTCCGAAGTGCGGTTCCTGCTGTCGGAGAGCGGCAGCGGGAAGGGAGCAGCCACGG